GCGGAGAATGCCACAAGCCCTGGCACCCCAGTCATCAGGCCACACATTCTAGCCACCCCACCCCCACCCCTGCACTGCTAGGCTCCTACAAAAACCAAAAAAAAAAAAAAAAGCAGAAAGTGTAGTTCATCTTTGATTAACAAGGTCGTAACTCTCGTTAAACCCCTTTGAGATCATAAATGGATGTAGGTTGAACCAGAACGATGGCACACTTGGTTGATAAAGCACTGGCCAGCACTGGTTCATTCCCCTGCCTATGGTCCCTCAGGAACCTCTAGGAGTGATCCCTCAGCACAGGTCCAAGAGTAAACCCTGAGCACCACAAAGGATGATCCTAACCCTCCACCACCACCACCACCACCCAATGGATATATGTTGAAAGGGAAAGAGGTAATGGAACGTAAGTGTTGCCCCTGTTGTGGAAGCGCTGGTCAGCTCGGCAGTCCATCCCGTCTTTGTCTCAGTCGAGCCTAGTCTCCTTTAGGAGGTGTATACCCATACCCCATGGGAAAACAGTGATGGTAGAGGAGAGCCAGAAGCCAGAGGTCTCCCATGGGGCTCACCCAGCATTGAGTCCTGCCGGGCTCGAGGTCCCAAGCACAGGACACAGGGCCTTCCGGGGCAGCCCCGAGTGTTGCTTGCCAGAGCCGAGGTGGTCCCTGGAGGCCCATTGCCTCTTCAAGGAGACTGAGTGATGGCAGGAAGAGGGAGAAGTGATGCTTCCTTAGGAGGTAATAGATACCCAAGCAGGAAATCCAAGGTTATCCTTCTGCCAAGCCGTTCTCCAGAGACCAGGGAATTCACCGCTTGTCACGGGGGCCCTAAAATGGGATTTTCTCCCGTTACGCTGTCGAATATCGGTGATTTACCAGCAGGAAGACAGCAGCCGCCAGCCCCCTCCCACTCCCACCGCATTGGGAAGATTGAAATGTTTCCGATTGAAATGTTGTCTGTTTACAGCTCATATTTCCTCCGAGCTGTATATTTTATTGTCATATTGACACTAATTTGACTCGGGTGTCACTTCCGTTCTGACGCCCGTTCTTTATGCTGCCTGCGGGTCCAGGGGGGTTTTCAGAAACCAATTACATTGATCACACCACAGAGAGGCAGGCAGGGCGGGTGGAGGGGCTGCCACGGGCCTGAGCCAGGCACACTTACTGCCTGCAGAGAGGAGGGGAGACTGAGGCACAGGAGGGTCTGGAAGCCCAGAGGTGCTGGGGGCCAGCACATGCTCAAGGGCTGATGAATCATCTGGGGCACCCGCACAGACACCCCAAGTGCCTGACGTTAGAAAAACCCCCTCCCAGGAAAAACCTGGAGCCCTCTCCCTAAGCAGAACTTGAAAAGGAACCTTCCATTCTAAACCTTTGCTCCCCCCAAAGCCTCAGCCTTTGCTACTCATCCCTGTAAGACAGATAAGGGGGAGGTCACATGAGCTGGATTCTATTCCCCCCTCCCATCCCACCCTCTTTGGGAAAGCCATACTAAGCAGTGCTTAGAGCTTACTCCTGGCTCTGTGCTCAGGGATCACTCCTGGTGGGACTAGGGGACCATATGGGGTGCCGGGGATTGAACCCAGGTTAGCCACATGTGAGGCAAATGCTCTATCCACTGTACTATCTTTCCAGCCCCAGTGAACTGAATTCTTTTTAAAGCCATAATTGGAAACAGCTGGCCATGGACCCAGCTAAAAAAATCATGGGGTATGTCCCTGGGTCAGGTTAGGGCTGCCCTCGGCCCGTCTGCCTTTCCCTTGTAGACAAGGCTAACGACTAATGCAATAAATATCCTATGGCCTTTGGCATAAATGAGACCCCATCCACACCCCTGCTTCTAAGCATGTCCACAGGACCAGGAAAGATATGAGCAAGGAGTCCCCAGCTGTGTGGGACTGCTACCCAGCCAGTAAATGCTCCTCCGTGCCCCTCTGCCCTGCCCAGGAAGGCTGGCCTTGGCATCATGCTGAGGACTGTGCTCCCAGCACACAGCCATGCCTGGCTGGTCCCACTGCCCCAGTCACCTTTCTCCCAGGTTCCTGGGCCCTTGGGACCTTAAGGAACTGCAGGCTCACTCGGCAGGACGCCCTCCCAGAGCACCTGATGATCCACTGTGGGTCACTAGCCCTCCCCACTGTCCCCAGGAGGAACTGGTTCAGAGCCATTCAGTCATTTGCCAGAGTCACACAGATCAGATCTAGGAATCAGGGTGGGGTCCTGGGCATATCTACCAGTTGCCCTTGGGAGAGCCACAGTCCCCCTGAGGTGTCCGGCATCCAGAGGTGTATCCCTGAGGTGGGACCTAGTGATCCTGCCTGGGGCTCGGGCACCATGGTCATGGCCTCTGGACAGTGAGCAGCAGGAGGGCAGATCCTTGCTGACCGTGCCCACGATGGCCGGTCCACACCTGGCCTGCTGTCCCATGGTACAGGAGTGAGCGAGCAGACGCAGGATTGAAGAGACGAGTGGCTGCACTGGGTCCAGATGCCAGGGCCGCATGGCACGGGCATCCCCGGGTCCCCGCCCAGGGAGAGCCGGCTGCTCACCTGGCAGCTGACGGACACCAGCCCCGCACGTCCACAGATGAGCAGACACAGCGACTGCGCGGGGCCCCGGTCATAAATCACAGGAGAAACCACGGGAAACGAGTGCAGGCTCTTCTTTCTATTTAGTAATTTATCAAGGGAAGAGGCACATTAATAAACATATTTCCCTCGAGGGGTGGGGATAACAGAGATGAATATCACTGTCAGATTTGGCCTGTTTCCTCTTGTTAGGGGCGCCCGAGAGGGTGGGGATCCAAATGTTCACAGCAAGTCCTTTCTAAAGCAGCGCATCGCAGACATGTACTGCTTCCCACAGACAGTATTTGATCATCCCCGCCTCCCGGGCGTCTCCCCATTTGCTGCTCGGCCCCTAAGTAATAGGTGTCATGGAAGATGCGCTCCGGCATCTTCCGCCGAGTCCAGCTTTCAAGTGAGGATTGACAGGGAGTGAACCAGGTGAACACCCAGAAGCTTGGCAGGCGCCCCAGCACGTGGGGATGCGTGTGTGTGCGTGTGCGTGCGTGCGTGCGCGCGCGCGTGTGTGTGTGTGTGTGTGTGTGTGTGTGTGTGTGTGTGTTTCAGAGCATATTCCTTGGCTGTGTGGCCGGCCACCCTCTCTAGACTGTCTGGCTCATGACCCTGAGAGGCGGTAGGTCCATCCCCCACCCCCACCCCCCTATTCTGTTTGCAACCGACGGGTCATATGAACGTTCTAACTGCCAGGTGCTCTGTGGCGCACAGGCTATCTCTGCCTGACACCCTCTTGAAGAGTCTGGGTCCCCTGGACGTGCCCCAAAGTCATGCACCTCAGCTCGGCCTACCCAGCAGGCACCTGCAGCTCCCAGTCCCAGCCACTGGCCTTGCCCCTCCACACAGAGAAGCAGAATCCCCAGAACCTCCTCCGGTAGGACTCTGAGGCCACCCCATCTCCAGTCTGAACCACGAGACACTCCTGGTAGCCCCATAGTAAACAGAGCTCCGGGCACCAAGAACCAAGGAAGGTGTAAGTAGGGTCCCCTCGGAGGAGCCCAGAATGTAAAACTGTGGATATTCACCTCCTGAGCATCCTGTCGACGGAGTTGTAGAGATTTCATGGGCCACCACCCAACTCCATGCAACTGAAGAAATCACCTCAGACACTTGTACTTATGGCCAGGAGAGCAAGCCGCCTGCCCAAAGGAGGCAACCTGTGGGCTCTGGGCTGGTTTAAGGTGCCTGAGGAAGGAAGGCAAGAGAGTGCCCAGAAGCAAGGTTCGGTAGCAAAGGGAGTGTTGAGCGGCCATCAGAGTTGCTCAGGATGGACACACACACACACACACACACACACACACACACACACACACACACACACACACACACTCATACACCATAGCCCAGAGGGATACTGGAGAAGGAGTCAGGGGTACAGCACAATACACACCATCCTTAACAGGCAGCGCCCATAGAAGGAGAGAGGGAGGGAGTAATGGAAGGGAGGGAGAGAGGGAGGGAGGAAAGGAAGGAAGGAAGGAAGGAAGGAAGGAAGGAAGGAAGGAAGGAAGGAGGGAGGGAGGGAGGGAGGGAGGGAGGGAGGGAAGGAAGGAGGGAAGGATGGAGATAGGGAGGAAGGAAGGAGGGAGATAGGGAGGAAAGAAGGAAGGAGATAAGGAAGGAAGGAAGGAAGGAGGGATGGAAGAAGGAAGGAGGATGGAAGAAGGGAGGGAGGGAGTTAGGGAGGGAGGGCAGATGCTAGGAGTCTGGGGCCAGCCACCTGGGCCTCTGCTTGGACAGAGCCCTTTCACAGGGGCAGTTCAGGCCATCCCAGCTGCAGTTGCAGCCATGACCTTGCAAGACTCCACTGCTTCCGCTCTTCTCCGCATGCATGAGCCACCCAGCAGCACCCACAGCAACTGAAAAAAGACGGGCTGCCTCACGCCTGTCCTGGACAAGGCAGGTCACAGAGCCTTGCTCCTGAGCCAGGGAAGCCTGGTGAGGATGAGCATTTGTCATTCCACCTCGTGACTCCGCAACACTCACCTGGGCATTCAAAGCTGGGTACCAGTTGTCCTTGGGTGGGTGTGGCAGGGCCAGAGGAACTGTGGTTGCCGGCTACTCAGGACAGTGTGTATCGTGATAGGTCCCGAGTCATGTACTTTGCTGCAGTGTACTTGATGATTCTATCTCTGGTCTCTGCGGACCCAATGATGTGGACACTGGCATGCCTTCAGAGTTCCATAAACCACAGCCCTTGGCTTTTTGTGTGGGCTCACCCTGCCACGTGTGGCCCGTTCCCATTTTATGGATGTGCAAACCAGGACCAAAAGAGGCTACATCTCGTGGCCCAGAGCCCATCATGCATTCTCATCAGGTCCACCCACCACCCTCCCGAGCACTACCTGTCCACCACATGCCAGTTCTCCTGCCTCCTCCCCCTCGAGAAACGTGTGATGCTGACCCACCCTCCTTGTCCCGACAGTGTCCCGGTTCTCCAGCCCACGGGTGACACCACGCCTGAGTCGCAAGCGGGCTCTGTCCATCTCTCCGCTCTCGGATGCCAGCCTGGACCTGCAGCGCATGATCCGGACCTCGCCCAACTCACTGGTAGCCTATATCAACAACTCCCGCAGCAGCTCAGCGGCCAGCGGCTCCTATGGACACCTGTCAGCAGGCGCCCTCAGGTGAGTGAGCCCAACTGCAGAGGCTCAGGACCTGGAACCCAGGGTGCAGCTGAGGTAGAGAGACGGGGCTGATGGCATGTGTGGATCGATGTGTGTAGAAGTGTCTCCGGACTTCCAGGCCCTTGCCGGCCAAGTGAGCTGACATCGGAGAGTGTGGCCAACTCTTACTGCTTCAACCTTGCTTAGATTCTGGTGTGAACGGTGACACTGACAGTGAGTGAGTCCATCATTCAGGAAAAGGTGACTTCTCTAGCCTTTTGGCTTGGCCATCAACAGACCTGAGGACTGTGATGACACACAGGAGTTGTGACACTGACTCAGGTCAGACATGTCCCTCACAGCCCTGTACTGTGGCCGCAGCATGACACACCCAAGACTCCTGGGCACCAGTTGTTCTTGCCTGCTCCCTGGAGCCCTGGACTGTGGTTCAAGGATGCCATCCCAGCCACTTGGCTGAGACTCATTCCTTCCCCTGCTCCTTCTGAGCAGGGTGAGGCGGGTAAGATGTCAGGAGGGCTCCCCCCACCCAGGACAGAACGCAGAAGGACACGTGTAGCAAGGGTGAGATCTCTTTAACTGTCCAGCAGATGACCCCAAGAGGGAGCCATAGAGGACAGTCAGCGTCTGTTACTGCTACTGCTCCTCCTGACGGTCAGGAGTGTGAGACAGGCTGGGCTCCAGGAAGCCACGGCCAGAATGTCAGGCAGGGCTGAGGCCTCCTGGACACTTGCTTGGGCCTGGGAGCTTGACCTAAGACTGTGAGTATAGGCGGGAGAGTGACTTTTCTCCTGGTACAGCACCTGCCGTGGGTTACTGGAGCTCGTGTGCAGAGTAACGGTCTGCCCCCTCCCTGCTGCTGCCTGCCAGGTGCTCCCGGAGAGACCGCGGAGGAGATGGCATGGGGAGGGATTCCCCTCCGCGACGCCCACGGAGCCCTCAGTGTCCTGGAGCAAAGCACAGTGGCTCATTCACAAAGACTAATTTTTTTCTTTTTGAGTCACTCCCGGCGATGCATAGGGGTTACTTCTGAATTTGCACTCAGGAATTACACCTGGTGGTGCTCAGGGGACCATATGGGATGCTGGGAATCGAACCTTGCCTTGCTGCGTGCGAGGCAAATGCCCTATCCACTGTGTACTATCGCTGCAGCCCCACACAAAGACTCTCTAGAGCTCAGACGTTGATGGAGAGTGAGGACGGCCTGAGCTGCCAGGCTCTGTCTGGGTGCCCCTCCTAGACGGGGTGCCCTGGAACCCACAGTAAGGGGTGCATGAAGGGTCCTGTCACCAGGGAGCACTGATGTCGGGGGTGAATGTCAGGCATCAGGGAAGTGGGGGCTAGATGGAGGGGGCTGCAGAGGGGCCTGGCCAGAGGCAAAGGTCGCATCAGGGGCAGCGGGCAATGGGGAGGAGAGCAAGTGAAAGAGAGTCATAGTGTCGGCCAGGGCCACGTGCCTATCCTGAGCTGTGGAAGGACCAATTCTGCATGGGAAGTGTCCACCTAATAGCGCGTCCACCTTCTCTGCCCCACAACCTGTGCCCTTGTCTGCTCTTCTTCACAGTCCAGCCTTCACCTTCCCCCACCCCATCAACCCAGTGGCCTACCAGCAGATCCTGAGCCAGCAGAGAAGCCTGGGGTCCGCCTTTGGACACACCCCGCCGCTGATCCAGCCCTCGCCCACGTTCCTGGCCCAGCAGCCCATGGCCCTGGCCCCCATCAACACCACGCCCACCCAACTCAGCAGCACCAACTGTCTGGGTGACGCCAGCCAGGTCAGTGGGAGTCAGGAGCAGGGGCTGGGCAACCGGGTCCTCATCTAGAGCCCAGGAGGACTGGTCACCTTCCTCTAGTGCTGGGAACCAAAGATACGTGGTTGGGGTGACCCCTCCCTGCAGTGACCACATGCTGGACAGAACGAGCCTGGGGCGAGAGGCCTCTCTGGCCCCTCACTCCTCGTGGGCAAGCACCTCACCTCCTTTCTGCAGGCTCCTGTCCAGCCAACATGAGAGATAGGTAGGAAACCTGCATCCTGGCATGGTTTGGGCATCCCACACAGTATGGGCATCTCCATGTAGCACTCAGCATTGGCAGAGTGCTTATAAATAATGATATGGTGCAGGACTGGAGATTTAGCATGGGGTTAAGGCACTCACCTTATATATGTCTGACCCCAGTTCCCTCCCCAGCACCACATATGGTCCCCCAAGCACAGATATAAGTGATCCCTGTGTGCAGAGCCAGGAGTGAGTCCTGAGCACAGCTAGATGGCTCCAAATCACATACAGTGAGGTGGCTCACCTAGCACTGACATACAGCAGTGTTAGTGCTTGGGGAATGAATGAAATCCTGTTTTGCAGGTGGGTAAATCCTCACAGAGACTGTGGACCATGGAAAGGGCACAGAGGCTTTGCGTCACGCCTGGTTACGGGCCTGACTGGCTTTCATGGAGCAGCAAGTCTCTTTAGCTCTTCTCTTTTATGTGTTTTGTAGTTCTTTAGTTTGGAGGCCATGCCCAGCAGTGCTCAGAACTTACTCCTAGCTTCTGCACTCAAGGGTCGCTCCTGATGGAACTCGGAGGACCATGGTGGGTACCAGGGCTTGAACCCAGGTGGACCACATACAAGGCAGGAGCCAGCCTCTAGCTCCTCTATCTTTTAGGATCTACTGCCATGGTGGGGCCAGTGCAAGAGCCCAGGAGACCCCAAAAAGGGATCACGATGGTTATAATCACGAAGATTATTCTTTGCAGGGGACCAAGCCCGGTAGTGCTCCTGGGCTACTCCTAGCTCTGTGCTTAGGGATCACTTGCAGCAATGCTCAAGGGACCAGGTGGTGATGGACACTGAATCTGGGCTTCCCTACACACAGGGCATGTGCTCAGCCCACTGAGCATCTCTCCCGCCCCCAGTGACGACCCTTGGCATGAAGCAGCTGCCCTAACCAGTTGTGACCATATACTGGGAGAAAGGCATTCTGGGAGGACCCTCTGCCCCTCAAGGCTCCATGTTACCACTTAGGACCCCCCTTCTCAGACATGAACTGAGGCCATGGCCCAAACCCAGCGGTGCCCACACTCTGAGGGCCTGAGAGGCCCAAGCTGTCGGGACAGGAGCTGGGGTGCCCAGTAGGTCCTAAAGAGGTGGAGGTGGGTGGTACTAGCAGGGATAGACTGTTGGGGCTGTCCACATGGTAGCCCCTGGACAAAGGGACAAGCTGGGGGCCCTCGGCTCCTGAATCTTCCAGCAGGAGCCTGGCCCAGATGCTCCATGCAGGGAAGATTCCGGGGCTTAGAGCCCAGACACTCTGAGGTGTCCCCACTCTGCTGCCTGTCACCAGCTCCCTGGACTCATTCCTTCCCCACCCCTTCCTCTGCCCAGAGCAAGCAGAGCAGCGAGTCAGCGGTGAGCAGCACGGTCAACCCCATCGTCATACACAAGCGCAGTAAGGTCAAGACTGAAGTGGACAGCCTGCGGCCAACTTCCCCGCTGACTCTGACGCAGGTAAGCGCCAGCTGGTCCTCACCACCGACAGTTCGTCTGGCTTTCCTGAGGTGGGGCCGTGACCTGGCTGGAGAAGGGCATAGTGGAGTGCTGCTGAATGGACAAGGCCATAAGCATACATGTGCTCATCAGACAGATGCAGAGTCAAGAAGTGGTTGAGGGGCTGGAGTGATAGCACAGCGAGTAGGGCATTTGCCTTGCACGTGGCCGACCTGGGTTTGTTCCCAGCATCCTATAATGTCCCCCAAGCATCTCCAGGAGTAATTCCTGAGTGCAAAATCAGGAGTAACCCCTGAGCATCACCAGGTGTGACCCAAAAAGCAAAAAAAAAATTGGTTGAATGAGTGGCCTCTGGAGTGATAATGTAGGATGTAGGGTGTTTGCCTTACACGTTGCTGAGCCAGGTTCGATTCCCAGCATCCCACAGGTTCCCGAAGCACCACCAGGAGCCATTTCTGAGTGTGCAACCAGAAGCAACCCCTGAGCATTGCTGGCTCTGCCTCCCAAAAAAAAAAAACAACAAAGGAGTGAATGAAGGAGTGTAGGGGCTGTTGTCGTCTTGCCCCCTCAGGAGGCACACACTTTAGCATACTCATTTACACCCCTGAATGGCCCTAGTCCCAGCTCCACACCCTCCACACCCCTCTTACCTGTCACCACCAAGTCAACCTCTCCTGATCCTCCTGGGTGGGCAGACTCCCCTTCACCTCAGTGTCCTCAGGTCCAGCTCACTCCCACTCGCTGCCTCTGCCCCAGGGCTGCACTTTGGTAAGGAGCACTTTGGGGCAAAGTGCCAATTTGGGCTCCACATCACCAGGCTTTGCACAGGAGCTGTGAAGTTCTGTTTTCTGGTGACTTCCCACTCATGGGAAACAGAGAAGACGGTTCATGGTAGGAGTGAGAGCGAATGAGAGAGAGAGAGAGAGCCCTTTGGATATCTGCAGCGCCACATCTCACTGGGGGCCAGCAGGCATGCAGGGAGTCCCTCGGGTTGCTGAGGCTGAGTGGGAAGGCACCACGTGAGCACAGCTGCCAGGCTCCATCCCCAAGTCTCTCGCGCTAACCCGAGCTCATCCATAATACAGAATCACCAGCTCTGACATCAGGATGCTCCGGGCTTCCTCCTCTTTCCCCTCCCTCTGCCGGCTGTGCTTTATCAAAACTGTAAGCCACGGGGCAGGCTCCGGGCACTTCATTTTTATGAAATACTGGGTCCTGTTGTTGTCAGGAAAACAGAGGGCCCGGTGACAAATCCTTCTTCGCATGATACATGGTTTCCACAAGGCTGGCCATCCTGGGGGGCAGTGGAAATTAATGAGGATGGCCTGGATCCAGGGGAGACGCATGTCAGAGCTATGACAAGGACAGGTGGGAGGTGTCCCCAGCCCATCTCCTCCACCTGCAGTTGTGGAGGGTGGGGCTGTTGGGGGAGGGCAGGGGCTGCCCCAGGCCTTCCTCCCTTCCTAGCTTGACTTCTCCTTGGAATGAGTGGAAGGACCATTTGTCACCAGGAGGTTGTCACGCTGTCACTGGGCGTCCTGATTCAGTGACCTGACTCACTTTCCAGGTGAAGGGCTTTGCTTTGCCTGAACATAATGAAGCCCCACCCTCGACCCCACTCTGCCTAAACACCCCAGATCGTGGACCAGTAGGATGCCCAGCCCAGGCCCACCCCTGTGCCAGCCTCTGGCAGCTGCTTCAAATTGCCTTTGAAATAAGTCAGGCAGGCAGCTGAGAGCACCAGAAGTCTGTTTCCAGCTTTTCTGAAAGCAGAGAAATGGGTTTTGGAGGACCAGCCTGCACAGATCTGCCCCCCAGGGCTAAAGATTTAGGTCCCAGACATTCTGCTTCTCCCTTGTAATGAGTCCCCAGCATTCTCCGGGGCCTTGCCATGCAAGTGCCTCTGACTTACTGCAGAGCACTCATGCTCAGTGAACGTTTCTCTGAGAAATGACCAGGAGGCTCTCTTGACTGGAGGCTTGGAGCTCCAGTGGGAGACTATGGTCGTTTTCCACATGCATGATGGACTCTATATTGGACATGAAGCTAACATGGGAGCCTTGGTTGGGGCTGGTGGGGTGCTGGGAGGTGGTAGCCCTTAGTCTGAACTATCCGCGTTCTCCCAGGGGTTTTATTGCAGGGTGGAACATACTAGCCATGGGTAGATACCTGGAGACAGAAAGGGTTTGTCAGACTAGAGTGATAGCACAGCAGGTAAGGCATTTGCCTTGCATGCAACCGACCTGGGTTCGATTCCCAGCATCCCATATGGTCCCCTGAGCAATGTTGGGAGTAATTCCTGAGTGCATGAGCCAGGAGTAACCCCTGAGCATTGCAGAGTGTGACGCCCCCCCCCCCCCGAAAGAAAGAAAGAAAGAGAGAAAGAAAGAAAGAAAGAAAGAAAGAAAGAAAGAAAGGGTTTGTCTAACATCTGCCTCTTTGCTTGGCTTTGCTCCAAGCCTATCCAGCCAGTCTGTGGAATATTGGGGAACTCCTGACACCCTCTGTGTGGTCCTTCCTCGGACCTGCCTCTGACCCTGGTGCATTTGTGCCTCTCCCTTCCCCCCAGCCCCTCTCAGCCTGCCTGCCCCCCCCCCCCCAGACCTGCCCCTGCCATCTCTGTTGGCATTCACATTCAGTATCCTCCTGGGTGGGGAGTAGGTTTGTCATCCCCAAAAGTGACCTTACCACCTGGTGATTCAGAGGAAACTCATCTCAGACCCTTTGGTCGCCACCTTGAAATAGATACGCCGGAGACCCTGGCATCACTGAGGTTTCATCCAGATCCAGAGTGCCGTATCCTCACTGCACATGTTGGGGAGCCCAAGGCCGTGAGGTGGAGTCTCCCTGAACCTTGACTTTCCCAGCTCTGTCACTAGGCTGCAGATACCTCGCCCATGTCAGGGACGGGGCAGGCTACAGCAGGGCACCTGTGGGTGCCCCTTATCTACTGAGCACAGAACAGTTTGGGGTGGGGGAGGGGATGGCAGAGGGGGGTGTTCTGAAGGGCCAGGCCAGGTGTGTGCTGGTTTGTTTTTCTAGTCTCCGGGTTAGGGCATACCCCAGGCACAGTTTTTGCCTAACCCAAGTCCCCAGAGCCACTCAACGCCCCCTGCATAGAAGCCAAGCCAATGAGCATACATCACTGGCTGTATCAGTTGACCCAAGATGTGATGGGACATCTGGTGGGTAACAAGCCGCTGGCTGGGGCTGGAGCAATAGTACAGCAGGTAGGGCTTGCATGAGCTGACCCGAGTTTGATTCCCAACATTAGATTTGGTCCCCGAGCACTGCCAGTAATAATTCCTGAGTGCATGAGCCAGGAGTAACCCCTGTGCATCTCTGGGTGTGACCCAAAAAGGGAAAAAAAAAGCCGCTGTCCTTAGGAAGGAGGTTGGAGCCACCATGGCTGTGGGTGAGAGCTAAGTGTCGCCCCTCCAGTGTCCACTACTGTCCTTGGCACAGATTGCTGGGAGCTCCCAACTGCACTTCCCCAGACCAGGTGACAGCTCCTGACTCAAGTGGGTGTACTCTGCCCCTCTCCCCCCACCCCTACCCCAGGAGCAGCTGGCTGACCTTAAGGAAGACCTGGACAGGGATGACTGTAAGCAGGAGGCTGAGGTGGTCATCTATGAGACCAACTGCCACTGGGAGGACTGCACCAAGGAGTACGACACCCAGGAGCAGCTGGTGCACGTGAGTCTCCAGGACGGGCCCCGCAGGGTCTGATGCCAGCTACATTCGGTGTTGGGAGGGAGAGGCAGGGAGAGGCGGCTCCAGAGAGGTGTGTTCCTATGTGTGGCTCTACCCAGAAGGAGCCATAGAAACACATCCGTCGTACCAGTGTTTAAAGAAGACTAATATAAAGTAACAGAATGGGAAACTTAACACCCAAGAAAAGTAGAGCTAAGCACCAAGAGGATTGCTCCACGGCTTGAAAGCTGGCCTCACACACTGGGGGAAAAGACAGTTCAGATAGATAAGGGACCACCAAGTAAAGGGTGCTTGCCGGGCCTGCTCAGGATGGGAGATGCATTCTGAAAGTAGACTATAGACTGAACACAGTGGCCACTCAGTACCTCTGTTGTAAACCACAACACCCAAAATGAGAGAGAGAGCAAAAGGGAATGCCCTGTCACAGAAGTGGGGCAGGGTGGGGGGATGAGGTGGGCGGGTGAGCGGGAGGGGGAGGCGCACTGGGATCACTGGTGTTGGAGAATGGGCACTGGTGGAGGGGTGGGTACTGAGCATTGTATGACTGAAATGTAACCACAAAAGTTTTTAAGTCTGTAACTGCACCTCGTGGGAATCCATTACCAAAAAAAAATTAAATTAAAAAAAAAAGATTTATAAAATGAAGTTGAAAAAAGTGAAAAAATATAAGTATAAAATCACAATCAATCAATAAATAATAAAGATGACAAGGTAAACCAGAAAACTGGTGGGAAAAAGAATAATGAGCTAACACAGGAATAAAGTTGGTATTTCAAACCAAATGCCCTGAGCTGGAATCCATAGACGAAAAAAATTTTTTTCTCTTTTCAAGTTTTCTCATAGCTGATGCAAAGAGAAGAAACAGACTAGCTAAACCAACCAGCACCCACAAGATAATCACAAGCTTGACTTTTAAACCTGAAAGCAACCACTCCCATGAAGAAAGGCGTTGGTCGTTCCATGTGGGAGGCCATTCACAGGGACGCAGGGAAGACAGGGATGAATGGCTGTTTGCGCCCACGTTGGAACGAGCTGCCTCAGAATCCCGGGGCCTGATAGGTCCAGAGATCAGAAAAGGCCCTGAGAGCCGGAAGGGCACTTCACCAGAAGAGCCTCTCGCCCCTCTGTCCGCACAGCACCCACACAGTGGCACCCAGGGGCTCTGTGCAGTGGGAGCTGTAGGAACAGGAACTCGGCATGGGAGACGCCTGACTTGAAACCCAGCCGTTTTGTTCTGAGCAGATGAGTTCCTCTGAACCTCAGGTCTTGGCCTGTGGAGGGAGGCAAAGTCCTCCCCACCTGGGGATAAAGGGACCAGAGTGACAGTCCAGCAGGCAGGACAGTGTTGCCTTGCATGCAGCTGACCCAGGCTCGATCCCCGCATCCCATAGGTCCCCCCGAGCACTGCCAGGGGTGATCCCTGAGTTCAGAGCCAGCATAAGCCCTCAATACCACTGAGTGTGGAAGAAAATTGGCAAGTTAGAACCACGTGGAAGTGAAGATCGAGCACAATACCAAAAAAAAAACACTTATTGGGGGCCGGGCCGGAGAGAGAGGGCTCAGCTGGCTGACCTGCAGTTGCTTTGCGTGCAGGAAGCCTGAGTTCAATCCCCAGGGATCAGCAGAGAACCAGAAGTAGCTCAAAAATCAAAAGAAAGAAAAAAGGAAAACTACTTTCCATACATGGTACCCCCTCCTCAACTTCCTCCTCCCTCCTTCCCTTCTTCTCCCCCTTCCTCTCTTCTTCCTCCCTCCTCCGCTCCACATCCTCCTCCAGCTCCCCCTCCTCCCCTCCCCACTCCGTACTCTTCCTCCCCCTCCCCACTCCCAGCCCTGAGTGCTTCTCTTCTCCATCAGAAAAGCACTTGAATTGAAGATTTAGATCAGACGCACACACAGCAGCGCTGAAACTCAGCCCGTACCATTTCCTGCCCCCCTGTGACATCATTCCCAGCACTCTGGGTTTCTTTCACGGGTGGGTGTTTCTCCTCAGACTCTCACTCGAGCCACTGGCACAGTCCAGCAAACTGATCTGTACCTGACAGAGACGCTGTGAAGCAAGTCTTATCTCATAGCTGCTGCTGGAATTCAGACTCATTTGAATGAGTCTTTCCAGAAACAAGTCCCTTCCTACAGGGGGAATGGGGCGGGTGGGTGGTGATCTGTGGGTTGCAGGACAGATAAGATTAGATTAAAGGAGCGAGGAGCCAGCCTCCGGGGCCAGGAGAGCGCCCAGGCGAAAGGGTGCCAACGAGGATGTGCTCAGAGATGGGGCATCGGCCACACGAGTAAAGAGGGGATTCTGCTGATAAAGGCAGAGCCATGGGAAGGAAGCTTTCAGCTGCAGGCTCTCGCCCGAGCCCAGGGCTGGCCTTGTAGCATGGGGACCATCGCCCCAGGGTCCCAGAGAGAAGTTTTGTGTGTGCGTTCCCAACCCTCCTCCCAGCCTTCTTTCCGCTCTCCAGGAAGACAGACAGCAGTGGGCACCCCAGCGAGCTAAAGCCCCCAGTCAATTATTAACAATCTCTGGCTAAGTAAACCAATAAGGGGAAAAAATGAAAGACATTGTCGGGAAGCATTTTTATCAGGCGAATGGCTTTAAAAATGGAAAGTGAGGCTAATATGATAAGATTTCCCTGGAAGTTCAAAGCACAGGCGGTTTTACTTGATCCAGTGCAGGCATCTGTATTCATGAGAGCAGGTCCTGTTGCTTGCTCTCCGGCACGATGGAAAAAAATCTAGGGCCGTCAAGAACGAGCACAGCAAGGAAAGACCATCAGCCACAGATGCCAGGCTCATGCCCTGGACAGGAACACATTTCAGGGTGTATGAACCAGGCGAGGTTAATTTCAGCAATACGATCCATTTACCCCTGTAGACGTAAAAGATCGTTTCAGCATGTAGTCAGAGTAAGACAAAATTGAGATGCGTATCCTCTACCCTGTTTCAGATTTGAAGCCAGTAGATACTCTGCACACCCAGCCAGTGAGTTGGGGCAGCCCCAGGTTAAAGATTCAAGAGCTGCATGTATGGGGTCTGGTGGCTGCTACATTCCTAAGTCATTATTTCCCAAAGTGGGTGATACTGTATCCTCCCAACAGGATGGACCCTGGAATAATCAGGGGGAGGGGGGGCAGTAATAGACACGGGTACGATTTGCTGTGCTTTCTTTTGATTTGCTTTAGAAAGCTCGATTCAGGAGTGGCTTTGAGCAACTTGTTTCAGCAAAGGGGACAGTGGGACAGATAAGTTTGGGACCCTCTGGCCTCTAGGTAGTGAAAGGGGCAGTAGAGGGAGCTGAGAACAGAGGAGAAGGCGGGTAGGACTGCCAGGGTGAGGGAACACCCCTCTGTGACTCAAGTATGCTGTCCCCCCATTCTTCATGGGGAGGTCAGCAGAACCAGCCCAGGGCCAGGACACAAGGGTGCTGCAGAGACCCAAAGTGTGTGTGGGACTAGTACCCCTTCCACACCCCACTCAGATACGCAACCCAAAAGATTAAGGACGTAGAGGTTCTGGAGTTCCCCACAGACCTCACTGCTGAGCTCGGAGGTTGTAACCCCCCACCCAACCTGCCTGGGCTTGCCCCCACCCCAGTACTCAAAGTCTGCACACAGGTAGAGTATGCTACACTGACTCAGAGGACCGTGCAGTCCACTTACCACTTCAGACCTCCTGCCACAAGGCAGCCCCACATTGCCAGGGCCTCTGGACAAGAAAGACCAGGATACATTTATATTGATTAGCAAGTCCCTGGAACTAGATGCGACCTCAGGAGAAGCTGATCGTGCACCCCACCCCAACCCGGGAGTGTCTGCCCTGCTGCAGTTAATCAGTGCCTACTGTTTGCAGCCTGAGAGCATGTGTCTTACCCAAGAGTGCCCCATAGGCCAGAGCCTGATAGGGAAGGGGGGTTCAGGCAGGACACCTGAAAACCAGTGAACATCTCTCATTCGGATGACTAATTGGAAAAAGCCATCTAGATAAATAGCATGCAGTAGAGTTTCATTTCCTGTCAGCTAATAATTCCTGAGCATGTGAGGGCTGGCCTTATACATGGTGATAGGGGTGTGTATGTGGCAGGTGGGGTCTGTGGGTGACAGGTCAGCTCAGTACATCACAGGTGTGGTCCTTAGAAAGGGATGGATGAGGAGTTGGGGCGATCTGTGGATCTATGGGGCCTTCATTCTATGGATCTATCATCTCCATGGATCTATGGGGCTTTCAGGGATGACCGACTGAACCTATTTCCCCTCCTGGTTCTGTTCCTGTAGCATATCAACAACGAGCACATCCACGGGGAGAAGAAGGAGTTCGTGTGCCGCTGGCAGGCCTGCACGCGGGAGCAGAAGCCCTTCAAGGCCCAGTACATGCTGGTGGTGCACATGCGCCGGCACACGGGCGAGAAGCCCCACAAGTGCACGGTGAGTGCCCATGCGTGACCCGCCCTCGCAGCAGCCTTGGAAATACCGGTCCACTGGCCACGCGACGTGGTTGGCATGGCTTATGGCTGACCCCGGTCAAACCTATGTGTTGTCCTAGCCACGGGAGGGGCCTTCCAGGCTTGCCTTCCATCCTGCAGATCCTATCTGCCTGCAGCTCAGGTCGTCCCAAATGATGCTCTCATGGTTTATGTACCTGTTGGTAACTTTGTGACTGGGATCCTCAGAGCCCAGGTCTACCCCCATAGTTTGCTTGTAACTGGGTGATCCCAGCAGAGCAGTAGGCTGGCTACATAGGCCCCTGCAGACTGTCACCTCACCTGTACAGAGATAAGTTGACAGGTGACGCAACCATGGATTAGAGCAATCACCTTGGAAGGAAGGGAGGGAGGGAGGGAGGGAGGGAGGAAGGAAGGAAGGAAGGAAGGAAGGAAGGTGGGAGGGAGGAGATGGAAGGAGGGAGGGAAGGAAGGAAGGAAGGAGGGAGGGAGGGAAGGAATGAGGGAAGGAAGGAAGGAAGGAAGGAAGGAGGGAGGGAGGGAAGGAATGAGGGAAGGAAGGAGGGAGGGAGGGAAGGAAGGAAGGGAAGGGAGGGAGGGAGGGAGGGAGGGAGGGAGGGAGGAAGGAAGGAAGGAAGGAAGGAAGGAAGGAAGGAAGGAAGATAGGTAATAGCGGGAAGGGCATTTGCCTTACACATGTTCAACCTGGCTCGATCCCCAGCATCCCTTATGGTCCCCCAGATTCTGTCAGGCGTCATTCCTGACTGTGATCCAAAGAGACAAAACAAAAATATATATATTATTATTGCTTTTTGGGTCACACCCGGCAATGACCAGGGGTCACTCCTGGCTCTGCACTCAGGAATTACTCCTGGCTGTGCTCGGGGGACCATATGGGATGCTAGAAATTGAACCCGTGTGGACCACATGCAAGGCAAATGCCCTACCCACTGTGCTCTCTCTCCAGCCCCACAAAAAATTTTTTTTAATTGAAAACAAAGGTAGGACCTTTCTCCAGTCTCGTCCAAAGAAGCATGATGTATGGCCATAACTGGAGAGGTCTTGCTTTCATGCACTGACATCGCTGTCTTTGGAAGGGAAGAAGGTCCATGACAGCCAGTGTCCTGCAGCTGCTTCTTGTGAACATTTCTTTTCATGAATAAGGCCCACAGCATTGTAGGAATCATTCCTGGGTTATCCTGGACCCACCTATTAGTAGGTGTATATTTGCATTGTTTTCACCTTGAGGTTATTAAAGGGTTCCTAGCATGCAAATATTTGAGTAGGAGTTTCTGTATGAATATGGGTTTTGGTTGTTTTTTTCTTTTCTGGTTGGGAGGAGGGAGCATATTTTGGGAGAGACCACACCCAGCAGTGCTCAGGGCTGATGCCTGGCTCTAAACTCAGGGCTCATTCCTGATGGGCTCAGGGGACTATATGGGGTTGCTGAGGATCAAACCTGGTTCAGCTGCATGCAGGGCAAGCGCCCTACCTGCTATACTGTTGCTCCGGCCCTGAATGTGGTTTTGACTCTCTCTTATACTCTTAGAGGGGGAATTGATGGGTCAAATGGTTTACTTTGTTTTAATTTTATTTTCATATAGTTGTTCACAGTAATGGATTACGTTCAATATTTCAACACCAATCCCACTACCATTACACCTTCCAACCACCATTATTTCAAATTTTCCCACCACCACTCAAGCCTGCCCCACAGGCAGATGCTAGATAATTTATTTTGTATTGCTTGTTATGAATAGCATAGGTGTTGCACAGCCACTTTTGTGTTCGTGAGCTCCTCAAATTCTAAAATTTTAAATAGGGTCTAGAGGCATCTCTGCAGTGAGCTGCTCAGGTCTGAGATTCATTTGTGAGTCTCCGGATCATGGCCGTTAATGCGCTTAAGTGACACCCGGATTCAGTCCGTGGGCGTGGCAGCCAGGACCCCCAAGGGTGGGAGATGGGAGAGTCAAATAGTTTAACTTGACATTTCACTTTCTGAGAGTCTTCCTAGCTGTTGTCTAGATAGCTGTACCATTTCACGTTCCCAGCAGCTCTCGATGAGGGTTGAGATTCCTCCACTTCCTGCCAGTCTGTGCAGTTCTTTTCTTTTGATTCCAGTCGTCCTCGTGGGCTTGGAGCGGTGTCTCCTCATTAGCTTGGCTTTGCGTTTCCTGAGTGACAGATTGTGTGCATCTCCTCACATGCTGACTGGTCAACTGTAGATCTTTGGGGAAAAGTCTACCCAAATATTTAGCCTGTTTTAACTTGAGTTATTTATCTACTTTTCTCTTTTGGTTTTTGGGCCTGCCTCTCCAGCCCTTTGAGCTATTTTCCTAATCTCTTCTTTTTATTGAGGTAATACTATTTATGAGCTTATTTGCTTTTCTTTTGGGTTTTGGAGTCACACCCAGCAATGCTTTGTAGCTACCATTGGCTCTATCAGCTGGTGGATCACTCCCAGCAATGCTCAGAGAACCACCTTGGTGCTGGGGATCAAACCAAGAAGACTATGTTTGAAGGGCAGAATTTCACATGTTACCACACTGCCCACCACCAAAGTCCCAATATTTCATCATCTTCTATTGTTGCATCACAGATGATCTCCTAGATCCTTGTGTGACTTACAATATTTTTTTCCAATTCTGTGGACTTTCTTTCTTTTCCTTAAGTTTGCTTTCAAGCACAAGAGTTTTTCACTTTGAAGTCCAGTGTTTGATTGCTTGTGATTCTGGTGTTGTGTCTAATCGCCTACCCCAAGTTCTGTAGCACTGTCCTCCCGTTGTTCATCGATTTGCTCGACCGGGCACCAGTAACATCACCATTGTGAGACTTGTTACTGTTTTTGGCATATTGAATATGCCACTGGGAGCTTGCCAAGCTCTGCCGGACTCTCTGAGAGGGACGAGAGGGACAAGAGGGATGGAGGAATCGAACCTGGGTGGGCTGCATGCAAAGCAAACGCCCTACTTGCTGTGCTATCACTCCAGCCCCAACCCAAACACAACAAACCTAAGTTCACAAAGACTTATATCTGTGCTTCATTCTTAAAGGTTTTCAGTTTATAAGTGTATAGGGGTTTGTTTGTTGTGTTTGGTTTTGGGGTTTCCGTTCGCTCTGGCAACCACACCCAACGCAGCTTAAGGGCTGCATCTGGCTGTGCTCAAGTGTTGCTTCTGGTGGTTTTCAGAGACCATGCAGTGCCGAGGGTGGATCTGGGCCTCCCACATGCAAAGTCTGTCCTTAGACTCCTGATCCCTCTCTCCAGCTTCTTTTTCTTTCAGTTTTTGGGTCACACCCAGCCGTGCTCCTAGCTTGGTGCTGGCGGGAGGGGGGGGGAAGGGCATGGTATCTGGAACAGGTATGAGACTCCTCCCTGCTTCCTTCTTCCCACCGTCCTCCCTCCCTTGCTCGCTGCCTTTCTCCCTGTTCTTTCCTTCCTTCCTCCCTTCCTCTACAGAAATGCTTCTTTGGTCAAGTAGGAACATCGGCGCTGATGAGACCTAGCAGATAAGCCCTCTCGGGGAGCTGGTACCCTCGTGGGAAGGCCAGAGAACAAAATGATCAAGCTCATTATAAACTGTGTCAGGGAGCGTGCGGGGGGAGAGAAGGGTAGAACAGGATGATTAAGAATATCAGAGACAGGCTCTCAGAGGAGATGACCTAAAAGATGGCAGGGTAGGGAGCCAGGCCAGGGTGCGGGAAGGTAAAAGCCGGAGAGACAGCCTGGGCCAAGCTCCACCCCAGGAAGAAGTTGGTGGCCTCACTGAGTGGCCAGAACGAAGCAAGGGTGACCTCTGGGCTTTATCTGTGGCAAATTTTAGTGCACGGGAAAGTCCCTGTGAGGTAGTAGCCTTGGGAAACAGTTGAAATTACTATTTTCAAAAGAGCCTTTCATGATGCAGGGAGATTCTCGGGTATGCTGCTGGTTCTTATGTGCAGAGCATGGAAAAGAATCTTGATGTAGTCTCAGTTTTTTATTTAAGACATATGCAGAGCTGAACTGCAAAGCTCTCAAAAGGAGACAGTGCAGGCAGGGTACCTTCCTTGCATGTAAGGGACCCCAGTTTAAACCAGAAGCTCAATGCAACCCAACATCACCAGGTGCAGCCCTGGAAGCTTCCAAGTACCTTCAGGGGGTCTCTGTGGTTCCTGACACTGCCACCTGCCTGCCCTTCATCCCTGGGCTCTTACATTGAACTTCTGGCCTGGGTAACAGAGTCTCCATGAGGGCCCTGAACCTCCTGAGATCCTCTTGGGAGACCTCCCCCAGCTCAAAATTGGTTTTTCTTTTTTTTTGGGGGGGGGGGAGTGGTTTGTGGAGTGATAGCACAGTGAGGAGAACGCTTGCCTTGCATGTGGCCAACCCAGGTTGGATCCCCGGCATCCTATACGGTCCTCCAAGCACCGCTAGGAGTAATTCCTGAGTCTGAGATAGGAGTAATCTCTTGAGCACCTCTGGGTCTGACCCAAAATCAAAACAAAATTGTTTTTTGGTTTTGGAGCCACACCCAGCAGAGCTTAGGGCTTACTCCTGGCTCTGAACTCTGGGATCTCTCCTGGCAGTGCTCAGGGGACCATATGGGGTGCAAGAAATTGAGCCCGGGTTAGCCCCATGTAACCAAGTACCTACCCACTCTCACCTGGAGGGTGGGTGGCTCTCCCTGGTCAGAACAAAGGTTTGCCTTTTCCTCTTTGATCTAGTGCTTCCCCCCTCATCCCCCCCGCCACCATTCTCCCATGGCCACAGGCTGTTGGTATAACCTGAAAGGAAGGGTCATACCAAGGGTTATACCGTTTTTGTTCCCATCCATTCTCCTGGTCAACGCAGAATGGAAGGGATGTGGGGCATGGGAGGAGACAGCAGCTGGGCCTCTTCCGCTGGGCCAAGGTGCCCACACTGACCTAACCTGCCCGTCCACAGTTTGAGGGCTGCTCGAAGGCCTACTCCCGCCTGGAGAACCTGAAGACACACCTGCGGTCCCACACTGGGGAAAAGCCATACGTGTGCGAGCACGAGGGTTGCAACAAGGCCTTCTCCAACGCATCGGACCGCGCCAAGCACCAGAACCGCACCCACTCCAACGAGGTACCAGCCATGGCCGAGGCGTGCATGGGGCCCCTGATACAGCTGCTCGAGAGCACTGTAGGCATGTAGGCATTGGGGGCCAAGGGCCCCACGCTTTGGAGCTCAGCACACATAGGTCTGTCCCCGCCACCTGGGTTCCAGCGCTGCTGCTTCTGCTGTGCAGTCTGGACTTGCTATAGCCCTAGGTTGCCCCCAGCAGCCTCCCCACAGAGAACCAGTGCTCCTGGCCAGGCAGATGAGTCCAGGGAGGCCATGGAGGGAGGAGCCTGTGGTGTCTGCCACATCTCCTCAATTCCTGTCATGCAGGTAGACAACAAAAGAATGTTTTGAAAAACTAAGTTACGTTTTGCCGCACACTGAAGCATTTCGCTTCAATCCTTGTAAGAAGTTAGAGGTATTCTCAAAGGCATCTGACCTCTCCAATTCCTGGGAGACAGCCAGCCTTGGATTGAGATGTGGGAATGGGTGTGAGTGTGTACAAGAATTGTGTATGTCCGTGCATGGATGTGTGTATGTATGTGGGCATGCACCTGACTGTGTGTGTAGGGATGTGTCTGTACGTGGACATACAGGTATAGTATCTGCGTGCATCTGAGCATAATCATGTATGAGGTATAGGAGTATGGGTGGATGCAGGGTCTACATGTTTTGCATATTTTGTTTACAAAAATGTATAGGTATGTAGACGGGAGCAGGGTGTATGTGTATTGTATGTGTGTTTACAAGAATGTGTATGCAAGTGCATGGGTTTTTATATGTGTAGACACATGGCTGTATGTGTGTAAGATGTGTATGGACATGTGTGTATACCATGTGTGCGCATTTGAGTGTATAGGGGCATGTGTGGACAGGGTACGTGTGTGTGTTTGTGTGTGTGTGTGTGTGTGTGTGTGTTGAGAGAGAGAGAGAGAGAGAGAGAGAGAGAGAGGTTGAGCCTGAGTTTTCAATCCAGTCCTGGGAAACTTGGAGCCAGCTGCTTGGCCATCTCTGAGCCTGCATTTCCCCTGCAGAGATGGAGGCACTCATGTTTTCTCTCACAGATCTGGAAAAAGAGATACATGAGCAACCAGGATCAAAATCCCCAGCGCCTTGTCACAGGGCAGGTGCAGAGTGACCACAGTGGGCCTTATGTGGGCCGTGCCCTCCAGAACCTCAGATCTGTGTCCCCAGCTTAGGGCAAGCACTCCCTCCCTTAGCCATGAGCTTACCTGCCTGCAGAGGTGGCAGGCGAGGCCGCGCTGTAGCAAGACGGGGGCTGACATGCTCTTCTCCTTGCAAAGAGCACAGATGGGTTAAGCACCTTCCCGTGGGCCAGCCGGGCTCTGTCCAACAAGAGCGCTTCTGCCGGAGTCTCTCTTCGTGCTCACAGCTCTGGCCTGGTTCTCCCCGCAGAAACCCTACATCTGCAAGATCCCGGGCTGCACCAAGCGCTACACGGACCCCAGCTCTCTCCGGAAGCACGTGAAGACGGTCCACGGCCCGGACGCTCACGTCACCAAGAAGCAGCGCAATGACGTCCACCTCCGCACGCCACTGCTTAAGGAGAACGGGGACAGCGAGGCGAGTGCCGAGCCGGGCGGCCGGGGCTCTGAGGAGAGCACTGAGGCCAGCAGCAGCGGCCAGGCCATGGAGGACTGCCTACACGTGAAAGCCATCAAGACCGAGAGCGCCGGGGTAAGCAGAGCTGGGCTGCAGAGCCCAAGGCCACGCTCCAGGGGCTCCAGCCGGGACCCAGAGCCCAGTTATGGCTGTAGGCCATGGTTCAGGGCTTCCCCCGCCACACACACACACACACACACACACACACACACACACACACACACAGTGATGCTCCTCTCACCCGTTCCACTTCCCTCCCTGTATCCCCTTTGGCCACACTAAAGCCTGGCTTGTACCACATCCCACTGTATGGGTCTGGGTCACGGTCCCGGGGATACCTGCCTGTCACTTCCGCTAGCCCCTGCGGGGTCAGTCGTCCTGGAGAGGGTATGACTCCTGGCATCTGCCTCCCACCCCCCACTGACACCGAGAATTGCCAGGCTCCTTCCCTTCCTCTGTTCCGTCTCTGCCACCTGCCGCCTCTCGTTCTAACCACCTGTTCTTTGTCTCCACCTCTTTCTCCCGACTGTACCTCCCCTAAGGATAGACGGTACTGAGGTGAGCAGAGAGGCCGCTGGGGGGAGGGGTGGCATGAGTGAGGGGGCACCGGGACTCCTGTCCAGGGATACTGCTGGGGAGGGCCTGGCCTTTCTATTCGTTCCCTTGTGGACCCAGGAGGGAGGGTTGGCTCCACAGATGGTGGGTGCTTGGTAGTGGTGGTGGGGGGGGCGTAGGCACAGGCATCAAGCCACCAGGTGCCAGAGCGCACGCGGGCACCTACATTGCCTGGGGCAGCAGGCAGGGCCTGAGGACCCACCTGGACAGGGAGTGAGAGTCACTGTGAGAAACTTGTGTGGGAGCAGAGGAAACTTCTGGAACGGTGTGGAGGTGTGGGGCAATTCCACTTGGGAAAGAGGGAGAGTTGAGCCTTGCTGGGCTCCCACGGCAGGAGAGAGCCCAGCTTCTGAGTTGTTCTGAGTGCTCAGACCCAGAGGGCGGGCTGGCTGGCCCCTGTGCTCTTTGTCCTGGCCCTCATGTCAGGGCTGGGGAGGGATGTCTGCGCTTTCTGGGCAGTGTTAACTGCTCCTCCCGCCAGATGGGGCAGGACAGCTTAGAAGCATAAGTCAGGGGAGTGAACAGTGTCCGGGGCCCTCTGCCTGTCCACACTGTCTCACCCCGCGCCCTGGCGCAGATCAGATCCAGCTGATAGACAGGCATGCTGCAGAAAAGTGGTACTCCCAAAGCATGGGGGTTTGCCCCCTGTGCTGGGCGGGTGGGGGTACCGTGTTGGGTTGTGCAGGGTTGGGGGCAGGGCCAGGCGGGTGCCTGCACCTTTTGAATATCCTCCCTGTCGCCTGCTCCCGCACAGCTGTGTCAGTCCAGCCCCGGGGCGCAGTCATCCTGCAGCAGTGAACCCTCTCCGCTGGGCGGTGCCCCCAACAACGACAGCGGCGTGGAGATGCCGGGGACGGGGCCCGGGAGCCTGGGAGACCTGAGTGCTCTGGATGACACCCCGCCAGGGACTGATGCCGCCTCCGCCGTGGGCGGCCTGCAGCTGCGCAAACACATGACGGCCATGCACCGCTTCGAGCAGCTCAAGAAGGAGAAGCTCAAATCGCTCAAGGATTCCTGCTCATGGACCGGGCCGGCCCCACACGCCCGGAGCACCAAGCTGCCGCCCCTCCCGGGCAGTGGTAAGTGCGAGCTCTGGGGAAGGTCAGGGAGACAGAGAGACAACCTGTCTAGCATAGCCTCGCATAGCCCCAACCCCATGTGCCAGGCGCCCTCTCATCAGATGCCCAGGATGTCAGATTTCCCTCTACCTAGCCCGTTTCACTCTGCCACGGGCCTGACTGGGATCAGCGCAGAGCCTGGACTTAACCCATGCCTGTGTGGCTTCAAAGCCCTTTGCTCTTTCAATGCCTACAAGGTGCATCTCCATCACCTTCAAAGACAGGCAGGATCTGCTCACCTCAGACTTCCCTGTAGGTCCTTCAGTCATTAGTCAGACACTTTCCAGGACAGCAGTAGGAACGCTGCCTCGGAATGAGCAGCAATCAGTGCAGTCAGGAGGCACCTGACTGTCCAGGGGACCAGGGACAGAGCTCCAGGTGGACAGGGTTATGGAGGATGGAGAAAGAGTTTATTTATTTATTTTTTTAATTTTTATTAGTGAAACACCATGAGGTACAGTTGTAGACTTACAGATTTCTGTGCTTGGGTTTCAGTTATACAATGATCCAGTACCCATCCCTCCACCAGTGCCCATTCTCCATCATTTACATTTTTGTTTTTTTTAAATTTTGTTAGTGAAACACCATGAGGTACAGTTGTAGATTTACAAATTTTGTGCTTGGGTTTCAATTGTACAATGATAAAACACCCGTCCCTCCACCAGTGCCCATTTTCCACCACCACGGGTCCCAGTATCCCTCCCACCCCCCATCTGGAGAAAGCTTTTTAGCAGGTGAAGCGCACAGGGAACTTCATAGAGCAAGCAGCCGTGTGGTCCTTTTCCAGAAGTGCTGACCAGGCTTGGGAATCTTGAATCAGGCATTCACCCAGGGCCAGTTCAGTGCTGGACACCAGACACACAGCTGTGCCCTCCGCCCCCAGGCTGCCTCCCACACAGGACCTGAGGTCCCAGCATGGTTAGTACTGAGCCGCACCAGCCACCTCTCCTGGAGGAGGGTCTGTGCCCCAGCCTTAGAGGAACACTCGGCCCCAGAACCTTCAACCCTCAACTTCCTGCAGAGATGGTCTAGACTAGAAAACAGCAAAGGTCACCTACAAAGTCACCCCACCTTATTGGTAGGGATGGGGAAGACACCATGGTTGATACTTAGAGGGGTATGAAGAGCCTTCGACCTGGGTCAGCACTAAAGGGCGTGAGAGATCAGTCAGGACAGCTTAGTCAATTCCATCCAGGGGCACACTGACTGACAGAAAGCAGGAAGGCTGTGAGCCAGGTCCTCCTCAGCATCTCTGCATCACCCAGCTAGGGAGAGGGACATTTTGTCTATGAGCTGGGTGGGGAACGGACACCCAGACATGGACATCCAGACATGGCCACTGCCGCACTGGGTGGGTGCCCCAGACTCCTACATTATTTGTCAAGCTCCTTGGTTTCTTCTTCCATACCTTTTTTTTTGTATTTTTATGTGTTTAATTTCTTTCCATAAAGTGGTTCACAATAATGGATTCCATTCAATATTTCAACCCCAGTCCCACCACCAGTACACCTTCCCACCACCATTATTTTGAATTTTCCCGCCACCACTCAATCCTGCTGAAAAGGCAGATGCTAGATAATTTATTTTGTATTGCCTGTTATGAATAGCACGAGATGCCACGTGCTCCTGGAATTCTAAAATTTTAGATAATTATTAGAGTCTGGAGAAATCTCTGCAGCAAACTGTTCAGTTCCAAGATTCTTTTGTGTGTCTCTGGATCACGGCCATTAAAAAGCTTAAATCGCTGGAGGCAGTCCCTGGGCATGACCTTCAGGGTCCCATAGGGAGGGGGCCGGGTGGATGAGAAGGACCGGCCCATCCCCTATCCTTTGAGGCCTGGAGTCCGTCATCACTAAACCCGTCGACTTACTTCTCACTGTGTTCTGCACGTTGGCGGCTGCAGGGGTTCTTAGGTGGCAGGTGGATGGATGACGCCTCCCACCTGTCTGAGGTACCCTGGTGAAATCGGCCTCTCTTCCACGCCTTTCATTCCAAAATTGAGTGAATAAAATTCACTCCAAAGTTTTATTGCAAAATTCCTCTGGGTCAGGCCCTCTTGGGGGACCCTCGGCCTCCCCGTGGTAGGCGTGCACCGAGCAGGCAGCATCCTGGCACCCCCATGCTCCCTCCACTGGCACTGACACCTCTCCTTTTCTCCCCTGCCCCGCAGGCTCCGTCCTGGATAACTTCGGCGGGGGCGGCGGGCCGGCGGGGCTGCTGCCCAGCGCGCGGCTGGCCGAGCTGTCGGCGGGCGAGGTGACCGTGCTGAGCCAGCTGCAGGAGCGCCGCGACAGCTCCACCAGCACCGTCAGCTCGGCCTACACGGTGAGCCGCCGCTCCTCGGGCATCTCCCCGTACTGCTCCAGCAGCCGCCGTTCCAGCGAAGCGTCGCCGCTGGGCGCCGGGCGCGCGCACAACGCCAGCTCGGCCGACTCGTACGACCCCATCTCCACCGACGCGTCGCGGCGCTCGAGCGAGGCCAGCCAGTGCAGCGGCTCGGGGCTGCTGCATCTCACACCGGCGCAGCAGTACAGCCTGCGGGCCAAGTACGCGGCGGCCACGGGCGGCCCGCCGCCCACCCCGCTGCCCGGCCTGGAGCGCATGAGCCTGCGGACGCGCCTGGCGCTGCTGGACGCGCCCGAGCGCGCGCTGCCCGCTGCCGCCGCTGCCTGCCCGCGCCCGCTGGGGCCACGACGGGGCAGCGACGGGCCGGCCTATGGGCACGCGGGCCCGGCGCCCGCCTTTCCCCACCAGGTGCCCGGCGGCGGCGGTGCGCGCAGGGCCAGCGACCCGGTGCGGCGGCCCGATGCCCTGGCACCCCCGCGCGTGCAGCGCTTCCACAGCGCCCACAACGTGAGCCCCTCGGCCGTCGCCGCCGCCGCCTCCTCTTCCTCCTCCTCCTCGTCCTCCGCGCTGCCGCCCTGCGCCGCTGACCGCCGGGCTCTCCGCCTGCACGGCCACGACGGCGGCGGCGGCGGCAGTGTCCTGGCACGGGGCGCCTACTCGCCGCGGCCTCCCAGCATCAGCGAGAACGTGGTGATGGAGGCCATGGCCGCGGGGGTGGACGGCGCGGGCCCCGAGGTCAACCTCCTGCTGCCGGACGATGACCTGGTGCTGCCCGACGACGTGGTGCAGTACATCAGGACCCAGGCCGCCGGCGCCGCCCTGGAGGAGAGCGCCGCGCCCCTCTATGCCCCCGAAAGCACCTGCTACTCGGAGAACCCCAAAATGCCCAGCCCGGGCTTGCATGGCCAGCGCAGGATGGTGGCTGCAGACTCCAACATGGGGCCCTCGGCCCCGGGAATGGCAGGAGGCTGCCAGCAGCTGGGCTACGGGACCCCCTCCGGCCTGAACAAAAGCAACATGCCCGTGCAATGGAATGAGGTGAGCTCCGGCACCATGGACACCATGCCCAGCCAGGCGAAGCCCCCACCCTTTTCGCAGGGCAACCTGGCCGTGGTGCCGCACAAGGCGGCTCTGGGCCAGTACCCAGGCTACGGCGCCCACTCCGGAGCTCTGAACAGCACACAGCCCCACCTGGCGCCCTGTAGCGGCACCCCGACCAGGGGCAATTATTTGCAGCCCCTGCGGCAGGCAGGGGCTCCTAATCAGTGTCCCAACCTGACCTCCACTGTGAGCCCCCACACCACCTATGGGGGTCAAGCTCACCCCCAGCTGAGCCCCAGTACAGTGGCCGGGGCCTTGAACCAGTTCCCAGCTTCCTGCAGCAATATGGCAGGCAAGTCAGGCCCCCTAGGGCTCCCCCAGCAAATGGAAGTTGCTCCGGATCCCACCATGATGGGCAGCAGCTGTCGGGAACTTGGGGTCCCCAACTCCACGCTGGCTGGGCTACCCCCAACTCACCCAGCCCAGAGCTACCCCCAGCAGAGCCATCACCTGGCAGGCCCCATGAACCAGGAGAGTTACCACCCCAGCCCCAGCCTTCTGCCCGCTCAGCAGCCTGGCTTCATGGAGTCCCACCAGGTCGCCCTAGGGCAGGCTGGACCAGGCTTTGGCTTGGTGCAACCCCGGCCACCCCCAGAGCCCAGCCCAGCTGGCCGACACCGTGGGATGCGTGCTGGGCAGCAGTTGGCCTATGCCAGGGCCACTGGCCATGGCATGGCAGCTGTGTCAGCAAACCAGGAGTTGGCAGAGTCTGTTCCCAAGGGAACAGTGGGCCCCATGGCATCCCTGCCCGCTCAGCTACCCCAGCAGGACACAAGCGGGGCCCAGGACCACAGCATGCTCTATTACTATGGCCAGATCCATATGTATGAACAGAATGGGAGCCTGGAGAACCAGGCCGGCTGCCAGGTCATGCGGCCCCAGCCACCTCAGGCCTGCCCAGACAGTGTCCAGCCCCAGCCCTTGCCTTCACCTGGGGTCAACCAGGTGTCCAGCACTGTCGACTCCCAGCTCCTGGAGGCCCCTCAGATCGATTTTGATGCCATCATGGACGATGGAGACCACTCCAGCTTGCTCTCGGGCGCCCTGAGCCCCAGCCTCGTCCACAGCCTCTCCCAGAACTCGTCCCGTCTCACCACCCCTCGGAACTCCCTGACCCTGCCGTCCATCCCCACGGGCATCAGCAACATGGCCGTCGGGGACATGAGCTCCATGCTCACCAGCCTGGCCGAGGAGAGCAAGTTCTTGAATCTGATGACTTAAGCCGCCGCCCTGCACACAGTGGACCCTGGGGAAAGCGGCATTGCCCAACGCCATTTTCCCCACATGAGTATTCACTGCGTCTAAGGGAGTTTTGCTAACGACTGGTTCAGAGCACAGATGTGTTCAGAGAAGCTTTATGTGCAGCCTGTCCAGTTGTCTCTTTGGTTTTTTTTTTAATTTTTATTTTTATGTTGAACATTGAAAGAAGTTCAAGAGAGGCAAGGGCAGGAATGAAAACAAAAAACAAAAACTCGTTTACATGGTGAGACCCAGCCTTTGGTGTTTATGGGACCACTCGGTTCTGGCTTCTTCGACTCTGTCATTTGCCTAATGACGGATTACCATGGCCACGGGCTTTTCAAGTCCAGGAGGAAAGAGGGTAGAGGAAACCACATTGGGGTTGGAATCTGAAAGCCATACTGAATATTCCCATCCAGGAAGATAAGCCTCTAGTTCGCACGAGGAAAAGGCACTCCCTGGCCCACCCGAATTCTATGACACGTCATTTATTCTTGAGGCTGTGGATGTCCCTTGCTACAAAGGGAAAAATGTATGTGTTTTGCCTGGGTCATGATTCAGGAACACACCTTGATTCCAGGGTTTGGTAGAGCTGGCATCTCTACCCCCACACAGCTGTGTTTGCAGACTAGCCACCTGCATAGGAATGAATTGAGGTGGCAGCGTTGCCTGAAAAAGGGAAGGAGAAAAAAAAAGGCAGCATGCTACATACGGGCAAGCCCCGAGACCTCCTGCCCTCTGCAGACCATGTTTACAGTGTTTGTGCATGTAGAATGTAGTCCTCCCAGAAAAGAACACTTATTTCTAAATACCTCGGGCTGCTGGAGTTGCCATGGGCTGAAGATGGATGGAGGTGAGGAGGCTTGGGAAAGAGAGGATTCCCCAGGGCCCCACCTCAGGCAGCCCTGGAGGTCTCCCTGTAGGAAGAGGAAGTCGCATGTTTACCCATTCTTGTTTCCTCAGTGCACTCTCCGCCCACCTTACCGCCCCCCCACCACCAACGCCCTCAGCTGACAGCAGTAGCCCCTGGAGGTCATGCTCTCTGCTCCCCGGCAGCCCAGGGTTCCCCTCTGCCCCTTTGATTCCTAGAACTAGGGTGTGCATGGGGCTGGGAAAGTGAAGGGGTGAATCTTGGGACTCTGAAGGACTGTCACTGAATCGTCCTGTTCAGTGTGACCAAGCTCTCCCTGCCCGGAAATGGAATTCGGAGCTGGCATTGGAAGAATATGGATGCCTGAAAGCACCCTCTCATCACACACGTATGCACACACACACATACACACACACTCACACACACACACGCCGAATCTTTCCATGTTGAATTTGTGGAAGCCTTGCCAAAGCCAACTGTGCCCCTATCAGCTTGATTCTTCTGACCGTCACTTCCTGGCATTGGCCAGGACCGGGCAGTACCTGACCTAATCCCTCTTCATCCCAGAGCTTTGTTGGGCTCCAAAGTCAAGGCCCAAACCAGATCACATGCCCTGCACACCTTTCCCAAGGCTCTGTGCTCTACGATGGTGTGTCCCCCACCCCACCCCCGCCTCTGCCGCCCCCCTAAACCGAGCACTCGCTTGCCTTCCCCCATTTGTATATATAGTCTGTACAGAGCCATCAGCCCTGAAAATACTGTAGGTGAATCATCCAGCCAAATTTATATCTCCAAAACATTTTTAGCTTTTTTCTACATGCTATGAATTGAGATGTCATGCTCAACTTGTAAATAAGTCTTTTTGTACATTTAAAAAAAAAGTAATTTTTTCATAATTTATTTTGTCTATTTGCTTCTTGCTTGACAGTAGTTAATGAGAACCCGGGCAGTAAATTTGGTGCATTTGAGCAGAAATTAGGCTGTATTTTCACTCAACGGTGTCAAAATTGATGATCCCGCCTTCAGCGAGAAATGTTTAATGCCGGGCCTTTTACTGGCTGCGTCAGGGTGGGGCGACGGGGTTTGACAAGCAGGAACAGCTGCTGTTCTTCCAGTCGCTGCTCTGAGCATCCTCACTGTTTGCTGAAGCCTGTACAAACGGGTCTGCGGGTGGAACTAGATTCTCCTCAATTCAGGATTCCCTTTGACCAGGATGAGTACACTGGGGTGGGGGGCGGGTCAGGGAACCAGGGGACGGAGACAAATAGAACCTGGACTGTGATCCAGGTCAGGAAAACAGGCAGGGGGAGGGGCTCTGGGTGGTGGCATCCACAGTAACCTCTGGTAAAGGGTGCAACCCCAAGCAGGGGGTTTCAGCCTGAGCATCAGCCAAAGCCCTTACACAAAAAGGGCCATCAGACCCACACACACAATGAATTTCAGGGCATCCATGACCTCCTTTAGCATCAGTTCTGGATTGTAGGGTTAGCAAATGGGGAGAAGAGGGGGGGGGAACTGAAGTGAGGAGAAGGCGCTTCTGTGACATTGGACCCCCATCTGACACCCTCATCTTCCTATGCCCCTCCCAGAGGAAATTCTTGGCATTCAGCTCACAAGGTGTGGAAGCCAAAGCCACATAGATGTCACTGGGTGCCAGATCAGGGTGCTCTGGTAAAAACCGCAGGGGAAGGCACCCCCACTCCTAAACATTTGCACAAAGTGGCTCCCTGTCTGCTGGGCACCCAACCTTCTTCATGGTAAGACCGAGGCTTTGTGACTTCTGGCTCATATTTCAGGTGGAAAGAGTGGCAAGTCATCCTCGTGTCTCAGTCTGCCCTTGGGGATGTCCCCGGCCACCTGCACTAGCTGTTAACGTTTTTGGCTCGTCCCTTCTCAGTCTCTTTCAAAGCCCACCTCAGGCTCACACCTCCTCTGTTTCACCATACAGGAAGTCTCTGGAAGCTGCTCTGCCTGCTTTGGGGGTGAGAAGAGGCCAAAAGTTGTTTGGTGCTCCTGAGATTGGACCAGTCACAAGACTCCAAAGTCCGTATGGCCTTCGACTCTCTGGCTACTCACAGCCACAGGCCATGGTCCACCCCGTAGCACTAGCTCATGGCTCTGGGTCAGTTGAAGGGGCTAATTAGGGCTGACCAGGTAGCAGGGCATCTTGGAGGCCAAGTCATATGCACAGCTCAGCTCACAGCAGCCAGGAAAGCTCCACTGACCTTCACATTTGTCCTAGGACCAGGATGCTGGCTTGGGCACTGCCTCCTGAGGCCAGGGCAGAGCAACAGAGAACAAGCTGGAAGAATGAAGGTCTAAAGGCAACATTTCTGCTCAAAAGCTTCACACCATAATTTCACTTCCTTTTTTCTTTCTTTCTTTCTTTCTTTCTTTCTTTCTTTCTTTCTTTTCTTTCTTTCTTTCTTTCTTTCTTTCCTTCTTTCTTTCTTTCTTTCTTTCTTTCTTTCTTTTTCTTCCTTCCTTCCTTCCTTTTCTTTCTTTCATTCTTTCTTTTTCTTCTTTCTCTCCCTTCCCTTCTTCCTTCCTTCCTTCCTTCCATCCTTCCTTCCTTCCTTCCTTCCTTCCTCTCTCTTTCACTCTTTCTTTTCTCCATTTTAATTTTTAAACGGAAGGAAAGCAAGAAAGAATATTTTTCCACCATAATACACAGAGATCATGATTTACATCCTTCTCACATGCAGAATACATTTATCCAAGACCCACAAAACCTGCCCAGGCATTGGAATCATCATTGAGGATCTTGTAGTCTACATGTTTTACTTTTTTGATGATTAGACTCTAGGCAAGATGGTAACAGCAGTGTTCTCATTTATGAGAACAAATGTGCAAAGTTGTTGCACCCCATCACCACTGAAATACTTCTCCTCTATTGTCTCTCATCCCATCTCCGTTCTCCCTTCCCTCTCCCTCCACTACTTGGTAACCAATTTCATAATCCAAGAGCTTGTCATTGTGTACGACTATCTATTTGTGCCTCTTCTTGACCCAGAATTAAAAAAAAATAAAAAGTCTCCAGGGGCCCACGGAGATAACTCAAGTGGTAGAGCACATGAGTGTGGTGGAACACATGCGTGGTGTGAGCACGACCTTGCCTGGCCCCTGAGTACCACCCAGTGTGACCCCAGCACTGCCAGGCCTGAGCACAGAACTGTCAGCCCTGCACCTCTTGTCCAAGCACTGCCTGGAATGACCGCACCCACATTCCCGACATCAGAGTGGGGGACAGAGCTAGAGTCGCCCAACTCCCACTCCCTCTCCGGTTCTGAGGGGCATATGCTGCCAGTTGCCCCTCCTCTGGGTGGAATGCTCCTGGAGCAGTGCTCCCAGGCCTGGCTCCCTACAGCTTGGGCTTCCCTCTCAGCGTTCTTCCTGCCTCCTGGCTCTTCCATCTCTTCCTCTGAGCAGAGCAGGCCCTGAACTGCTGGTCTCTGCCCCTCCAGCCAATCTCAGTGTAAAAATCTTTTAGTGGCTAGAGGAAGCTGATACAATTTCTTTTTTTTTTTAACTTTATTGGAACATTGTGGTTTATAAAGTTGTTCATAATACAGGTGTTTTAATTTTTTTGCCATTCAATGTTCCAACACCAATTCTACCATCAGTGTGAACTTCCCTCCCCTATTGTCCCCAGTTTCCCACTCACACCCCCCCCCCCACCACCACAAACCTGTTACCTTGGCAGACACAAAATAATTTATTTTATATTGCTTAATAACAATAGCACTGTAGCACTGTCCTCCCGTTCATCGATTTGCTCAAGCGGGTACCAGTAACGTCTCCATTGTGAGATTTGTTGTTACTGTTTTTGGCATATCGAATACACCACGGGGAGCTTGCCAGGCTTTGCCATGTGGGTGGGATACTCTCAGTAGCTTGCCAGGCTCTCTGAGAGGGACGGAGGAATCGAACCTGGGTTGGCCGCATGCAAGGCAAACGCCCTACCCACTGTGCTATCGCTCTGCCCATAATAACTATATTTTTATATTACTATAACAAAATAGCACAGCGGTAGGGCGTTTGCCTTGCACGCAGCCAGACCGGCCGAGCCATGTTCGATTCCTCCACCCCTCTTGGAGAGCCTGGCAAGCTACCGAGAGTATTCAATATGCCAAACACA